ACTTTGTTACTCAGTTGTTTTTGAACTGCATCTCCCAGAAACCTCAGCCAACAGAGCTGATGGTGAAGGCTTCTGGGAGTTGCAGTCCAAAAACGTCTGAGTAACAAAGGTTAAGAACCAGTGCTCTAGTCCACCAACATCTCTGGGACCATATTTTGTCCAGTGGTGCTGTTCCAAAAGGAGAACCGGAGAGCACTGCTGCCACTGTCACCTGTCCTGGGCAGCCATCATTTAGCTCATCCTCCTCTTTTGAGCTATTTCCATTTTAGCTGATTGTGATAACAAGACCGACAATTCCCAGCTATAATTGCTTTCAATTAGTGTATAGATGGGTGGCTGGTATTGCTGTGTGTCTCTGTTTTGAGTCCTCGCTTTACCTCCTTCTTGCCTTAACTGCTCTCGCCAGGTCCTCCTCCTGAAGATGGAAGGTTTTTCATTTGTCACTTCATTTCTACGAATTTAGTCTCTGTTTTCGACTTAGCCTGCCTCACGGCAGATTTCTATTTGATTAGCCAAAGTGTTCAGGCTCTATTATGTCCTTTCTCTACTGGCTAACACAATTTTGATACTAACCGCAGCTTTTCATTTCCTGTTACATAATCTTCCTATGGGAGAAATTCTCTTTCAACACTAAGTGTGAATATGTCCACTTAAAAAAACAACACATTTTCTAGTGCATGGTCACCGCTTCCATATGGTTCAAAACAAATCCCACATACTACATTCCCTGCACAGAAATTTAAGAGTAAGCCATGTATACACTTACCTGGGGGTAAATTCAGTTGAACTGACTGGAGTTTACTGTGAGCACATTCATAGTACTGCACTATTTAGATAGAATTGTTCCTCTTTTTCTGGTATTATAATTAACTGTGACAAAAGACAATTTTTTTTAAAAAAAAAATCTAGAGCCTGTATCTGCGTTGTGACTTGTAAGTGAAGTGACACTTACATCTGAAAATAGCTAAAGTTACCCATAATACAAAATGTTTTTTTATGTTTGTAATCCTTTCTGAACTGACATATCTGACAAATTTCATACAATTCAAATTAGAGAAATGCAATTTTTTTCCTGATTTACCTGGCAGTAAACCTTACAGAATTCAGTCAAATTTACTGGCATATAATCAAATAATCCAGTGTGGTGTAGTGGATAGTGTGATCCCTGATTCAAATCCCTGCACAGCCTTGGAAACTCGGTGGGGGGGAGCAGAATTGGTAAAACCACTCCTTAAATATCTCACTTACTTTCAAAGCACTATTAGGGTCACTATAAGTCAGTTCCATCTTGACAGCACAAACAACAACAATTAAGAAACAGGGTAATTGGACAGGTTTTAATTGCATAGATTGACAAATACCCCTTGCATAGTACTGTCCTAATACTTCTGTTTTAAAAATATACCAACAAATCCTGCTGCCTAGTTAGTAGCACCCTGTTTAGTTAAATTTATTTTTGGATGGAATAATAAAACAGGGCCAAAATGTTTTTTATTTATTTATGAAAATTAAGAACAACAACAGGTGGAAGAATCCCAAATTTCATTGGAGAAAATTAAACAGATGTGAGGAAGTAGTGGGGCTTTAAACCTTTGGCCAACATTGCTATGTTATTTTGCACTGAGAACATTTTTCCTGCTATGTATTTTGGTGCACAGGCAAATAAAGAAAGCTTTTCTTCTAATGCAAAAAGCAGGGACAACAGTGGTCTGCTCTAGAAACAAGGGAACAGGCTTGGAGGGAGGGTGCAAAGAGCTAAATCTACTCAGAATTGTGGAAGATACAGG